TTCTGATGTTTTTTGTGATGTGGCCACCTGTCCACTAGGAAATGCGCTGAGACCCTCAACTCAGCTTACATCAGCCAGAGAACAGCTGCCAGATGGTAACTACTTTTGGTCACTACCAACCTGGTTGAATTTGAACTGTTGACCTAGAGGTGAAATGCTTTATATCCTATTACTAATTCCCTGAGGTTTCCAGTTTCCCATCCATCACTTTTTTCAAATGACAGCCCAGTATATGTCTGAAATCTCAAAACAATTACTGCTTCATATAGGCAGCCTGAGCTGCAGTATCTGAGATGTGCCTCTGGCTCTTGTAAAGCTTGCACATTTCCCTTACAGGCTTGAGACAGGTTAGTGCCAAAAGGGCATTTCAAAAGCTGCGTGGGAGCTTCCCTTCTTCCTTAGCAGTGAGCTTTGTTAGGGTTAAGTATGCCCTCTGTTACTTTTGCTAATTACTGTACCACAGAAGGCTTTTAAACTGCCTTTTTTATATGGAAATTGCTGTGATGATGTTGCATCCTCTGAAGGACAGTTTAGATTTTTATTGTTTTTCTCATTTCTGTTATGGAAATGTGATTTCTCTCACCAACCCTTGTTGACTGTGTGTGGTAAAAGCAGCCAAAAAAACCCTGAACATTCTTCTATCTTTGTAATTCATGAAAGCTTTGAAAGCCTGTGGCTCCCTGCAATACCTTTTGGTTCCTCTCATAACTTACCCTCTAGTCCCCAGGCCAACACTTCTGTATTGCATGATGCTCAGGAGTGCCTCTTTGTTGGGAGGGTGCTTTCATACCACAAGTGGGAAATTTGAGCAGGAAATACTGAAGAATTTGTAGAATGAACGGTGCAGTGGAAAATAAGTACCTTTCATCAAACTCTGTTGATAGCCGTGATGTCTGATGCCTGTGGGATGGGTTCATTGAGTGCATCTTACGATGAGGGACAACAGTGCCTCAAGTTTCTCTATTCTGTGCTTCCAGTGGTGATTGAATCACAATCAGTTATAAAGTGGATGAGGTAGCTGATTCCTCAGAAGCAAATGCAAAATATTTGGGAAAAACAGTTAAGATTTGGTAAAGTTGTTTTCTCCCTAAGGTTAACTGAGAAACTGCCATAATCTCTGTTTTTAAGGGAAGATTATGCAAGAGAATCATAGTCATAGAATAACCAAGGTAGGAAAAGACCTCTAAGATCATCCAATCCAACCATTCACTTATCAGCAATATTTCCCACTGAGCCAAGTCCCTTAGTACAACATCTAAAGGTTTCTTGAACACCAGAGCTTAGGGTAACTTACCATGGTTTTTAAAACAAGACACCAGCTATGGCTTGGAGCAGGTTAAACAACACTGATGCTTCAAGGCTGGGATTTTAAATGACGTGGCCAAGTCTTTATCTTGATATGTTCCTGATCTTAGGTGATAGCTTTTCTTCCACTGCAGGCATGTGCCTCCTCTTGCAGCCAAGTGTCTGTGCAGCGTGAGCAAAAGCTCGCTTTCATGATGATGGTTCTTTATTTCCCTTTGACTGAATTCACACTTTTGATATTGCTGCCTGGCTTGCTTCCTTCTTGTGTGCCCTCTTAAGAAATAGCTGACATGTTTTTGGTTGTGAGGGAGCCTAATAAGCTGCTTTAAGTCAGGAAAGCTAAGAAAGACACTGCCCCACAGAGATACTGTCTGAAGTAAGATCTCAGGTGCCAGAGGGATGGGATTTTTGGAGTGTGTAAAACAAAGTTAGGCTGTGAAATGCAGCTCTATTTAACAGAGCAAATGGATGTTACCAGCCTGCAGATCAGGTACAGAGCTTGCTCTACTGGACTTTTACACTCTTGAACTTTTTTACAGGATAAAAACACAATGATTATCACAAAATAAATGAAGAAAAAAGATGGGATTTGGGTACTGAAAGTCCATATCACCTTAATTCAAGAATCTCAGTTGTGCTAAGGAAAGCTGGTTAAGTACAGCCATTATGTAGTAGTAAGGTAAGCAGGAGGAATTCATCTCAGCATAGTAATTGTTCTGCATTACCATCACCAGCAACAGCATCTAGTCCTCAGCTCTAACTGGGATTTTTGGTTTTGTGATTGCATATTGCTGTGGCTGCTCATAGGAAATCTAGAACGTGAAAGATGGATTGGGATGAAGAATGGCTGCACTTGTTCCATTGTCCTCCCTTGGGGTCTTTGAGGAGACATGGTTGAATAGCTGTTATTCTCCTCAGTGACAAATATTAGGTTCCCTGATGGGAAGAGGTTGCCTACTCTTTTCCCAGTCATTACACATTTTTCAAGGAATCCTTCTAGGCTATGTGTAGTATAAAATAGAGATTGCTGTTCTAGGCATGTGTGTGTTAACATACTGCAAAAAAAGGTGGACATCCACATGTTCTAGAGCTGGATGGGGCCAAGGAAATACATACACACACATACATGTGTTTATCTTCTGTAAATGTGCAATAGACTTTCATATACGTTGGGACTTTTAAAATAAGGCCAAGATCATGTAATCTCCTTCAATGAAGCCAAGAGGAAGGTGAGATATATTTGGTTGGCTCTAACAAACCCTAAGATGGTCCGTATGTAATAATATATCTTTGAGTAGGCTGTTTTTGCAGTGTCATCATACTGAGCAGAGTCGGATTCTTCCTTGGCTCATCCTGGACACCAGGTTTATATGACCTAGAAAAAAAAATACGAGGGGGGTGTGTGGGTATGTATTTTTAGCTGAACTAAAGGGTATAATCAAGGTTAAAAAATGAGGCTATAACAGGAACCTCATGGAAACGGGCACTTTTTAAAATAAGTAAAACGGAGTTTCTTAATGGATTACTCTTTAATGCTTGTTAATACATGTGGAGAGTCTAGAAAATAATTTCTTTCAAATTAACCAGCTGTTCTTACATTGTGGCTTCATAATATGCATTAGGGGCCAAAAAAGAGCACGCAATCCATTCTATGTCTGTTTTGCAGAAAAAAATACAAATAAATAAATAAACTCTGAACTTCTTCGCAGTGTCTACTTTTAGCAAGTTTGCATTTAATAAGTTCTCATGTTCCATGGCTTTTCTAAAAGCACTTCGCCGCAGTGATCTTTTTACAGTCCCATGTACCAGCGTTCAGCAGGCCGGGCAGGGTAATAGCAGCCTTGCATTAATCAGCAGCTAGGATTTATATCTGTACCTGTGGCATCACACTAGGATAACCTAAAATAAACAGCGGGGTGTTTATACTAGTCACGTAACAAGTGTCTTTCTCTGTTTGTCACAAGTGTTTAATTTAAAATGTATCCAGTAAAGAAAAAATCGTTTGGCACTCTGTGTTTCCATTTTAAGTAATCAACTTTAAAATAGCAGCAGTACAGGATATGTTTTATAAGATGAGCTCTGAGGAAGAGGACAGATTCTTTCATCACTCCCAAATGTCTCTGAGGAGATGTGCAGCAGGTGTGGAGCAGGGAGGCCGAGCACCACGGGGCTCCATCCTCCTCTGCTGCCTGCGGAGCGCCGAGCTGCAGGCACACTGCCCTATGCACCCCTTCTCCTTCACCCCTTTGTGTGTACCCTGTCCTCCCTGACGTAGGTTGTCTTCTGCATCTGGGGGCTTCCAGGTGGCTGCGAGTTGGCAGGGCAGCGTGCACAGTGTCAGCGGTGTGCAGAAAGTGAGTTTGATTCAGGCAGGAGGGAGTTTGGAAATAAACAGTTAAGGATTGGGGAAGAGTTTTGGGATTACCAGCCTCAAAGCTTTAAAAATCTCACCTGTTCCATAAGAAGAGGATATTGTTTTACAGGAGTGCTGCATTCTTCAGTGCAATTCACTCTTCCATGCCAGCAAATATCCTACAGGACAGGTGGAATTTTAAGGCTCTGTACTGCATTTCTTGAGATTGGTGGATTGCATATTCTTTGTTTGCTCACCATGCTTTCACATAACATCCTGTGCCAGAGTACTGTGAACTTATCTTGAATTTATTGGACACCTAGCACCTATTTAAACATCTATTTTTAAACCAGCACCATAATGTCAGATTTAATGGGCGACTTCCTGCATTTTTTTCCTTTTATGTTTGAATGTTGCACACCAAAATAGACTCAGTCAGCTAATGATGACACAAGTGGATACAAAGTCAGTATGGATCTAGAAGTTGCTTAGAAGCAGAAAGCCAGTTAAGCACAATTGTTGTTGATGTATTGTGGTAAGTTAAAGGTAAGCAGATTCAGGGTTTAATCTGTGGCTGTTCAATGTTCATGTTAGTGAGGGCGCTTCACATTAGAGAGGCAAAATTTCACTTCCCAAGGTTGTTAAAACTTCCTAAGTATGTAAGAGGATTTAACAGGAAAATTTCTCTCATGCAACTTGCAGTTCATGCAGCCTTACTGCATTGGGTAATTCTTTACAAAAGGTATGTATCTAATAGAGCACATATGCTTCTAACTTCAATTTTCAGTAGACAAGCAGCCACATTCCTATGGACACTTCCTTACAAACTGCTTTTCTTCCTAAAAAAACAGACTTGTAGACCTAGAGCATCCAGATGGGAGCTATGAAAGGAAATGAAGTACCATATGCATTACAGTGCCCACCTTCAAATGCTGACCATCATGCCAAAAAGATGTTATAAACCTTCAGTAGGTGTACGCAGTGAAAGACATGTAGCTCCCTGCAATATCTCTAAGAGGAGAAATAGTATTTTCATTGATTTGTTTTTTAACAATTGTTAAGTGCAGAAGTCCAGGTTAGCTGTGTAACATTAAAGAACACAAACTTTCCTTAATTTTCTGATGGCTACAAGTCTAAATAAGTAATACAACATGAGAAACCTGGCCAAAAAGTACCATATCGTGTGCGTTAACAGAGAAAGTTGTCAATGTAAGAGGGTCAAAGTACAGAATGTTACATATACAGTATGTGTGCAGTTGCATATACATGTTCATAGACATGACTTAAGTTCAACAAATATAAATATAATGTCAAAAATTTGACTCTGTGCCACTTGTTTCAGGCAGCTATTTGGCAGAAGAACAGGGTGTCAGATCACAAAATGGCCTGCATGTCAGTTCTGGGAACAGCCGTTATGGGCAGTATGGTACCTTTTCAACACCGCTGTGAAGATCCTGAGGTGAGTTTAAGCTTCCTTCTCCCAAATCCACTTACAACCCGTCAATGAAGAGCTAAGTCAGTACTCAAAAAAGAGACTTTGAAATAGAGAATATTATCTCCAGACTGACATCTGATTAATACATTTGATTCTGTTACTTGCTTCTGTAAAATTAATTGGTTTGGTGATTGAAAATGCACTCCCAGAATCATCTCATCAGGACTCATGTGGCGCTGATCAAATGGCAGTAAAAACAGTTGTGATGACAAATGCAGAATTGCTGATTGCTCAGAGCTGTCTAAGTTAGGATTCCTGGCCTGCGGGCAGGTTGTGCTCTGATTAATAACTAAGTAGCTATATCATTCTTATCCTCGTGGCCTCTTAGCCTTATCTTCTAAATATTCTCTCAATTTCAGTCAGGGTCACCAGAAGAGCAAAATCAGCACATACTTAGAAGGCAAATTTTGTAAGATGCATAGCAAGCCTGCATTTGAAGGAAATGCTTGCCAGCTTTCAAAAAAAATTAAGAGCATGAAATTCTTTTGCTGCTGTTGAAATTGAAGGAGATGCCCTTTGTCTAATATTTTCACTTTTTTTTTTTTTTAATTCTGCTTCTGTTTTTGTTGCAGACACTCTTACAGAGGAGAGTCTTACTCCTGCTGAGTCTGCAAAGTTAACTTTTTTTTCAGTACCCTGTAGTAGTGGATCTTGCCCACAGTCACGTAGATGAGATGAATCACCTTTAGTAAAGTGAGAGTACCTACTGAATACAAATGACTGTGCTGCAAGAAATTGTTTAGTCAGTCTTAAATACGGAGTTTGTAAGAATGCTTATAGTATATATAAACAAGGAATTGAGGAGGGGGAAGCAAAGTTGCTTCTCAGAGCTTACAAAGTTTTCATGTTTCTGTCAGAACAAACACAGATGTCCTGTTCATACCTGAGTGCTCGCTGGCTGTGCCCCATATGGCAAGTGCAGGGGGCTCTGCAGAGAGGACCAGGGGGTATTTAAAAGGAACTAGCTTGAGGGAGGCACTCAGCTTCTCATGTTACCTCTTTGCTATATCATGAGGCATCCATATTCCTTGAATAGAAGTTGGGGAACATTCCATCTCTCTCTCTGTCTCTAAATAGTGTGTAAAATACCACGTGCATCATTTATAGGTGTATAAGTGATCCGTGCATGTTGTGTGTGCACAGACTCACATTGAGAAACTATGGATATTTCTAATTTAAGCAGGCAAACACAATGAAATTGTGACAGAATTAAGGCTGCCTGTGTAGCCCTTGTCTCTTTCCTTTGGTGCAGTAATTGGGATAGCTATTTGGTGACAACGTGTATGCCACTTTTTCCTTTCCATGCAGTCTCATTTAGTGCGCAGACGAGAGCAGCACTAATTCTTCTTTTCCTACTTGTCCATTTTGTAGCTTCCTACTCCTTTACTGCAGAGTCGACTCTGAATATGAAATCAGTGTTGCTATAAACCTTTTGTAAGCTGTTTCTTACTAACCGCACATTTAAATGTTCTGCGACAAGTGATTCATGCATTTTGAAGACTCGCCTTCTTCAAAACTTCCCTATTATGAGCACTGCATGAAACAAGAGTTTCAAGTTCAAGTTGGCTCCAAGGCATGGAAAAGTTGGGAAGTACTCACAAAGTAGAAAGAGAACCAAAGAAAATAAAGAATGGACAGTTTGTCATGTGCAAAGCATCATCTATGCTTTTTGCATCCCCATTCTTGGAAATGGGTGGATCCATTTTGGCTGAAAAGTTTCACTCCGGAAATTTTTACAGAGAAAGGAATTCCTATGGAATTCCTAGGAATTTTCCTATATTCTGTGACGGTTAAGTTTGGCGGGTATACAAGCTGCTGGGGAAAAGATAAGCACTGAAGAAAGGCTGTCTAATCAATACAGATATATTTTAATATGTACATATATTTAATATTCTCCAGTCTCTGTAATTTTGCCTGAATTAAAAAAAAAAATTATATATGATAATTTGAATAATTAAGGTTAGTTTTGGAACTCATTACTAACTTCTAATGAGCATACTTGATATTCCACGTGTCTTTAAATAGTAACAACAGTCAGCCATTTCTTAATCTGGCAGCTTCTTAAGTGACTTATTTAGAGACTTTCAGTTTTGTTTTAATGTTGTCTGTATATAAAAATACTGTTTGAACTGAAACACTAATACAGATGTTTGGAAACTGGAAAAGAAATTTGAAGCATAAAGAAGGAACGTTCAGAGAGGATGTGCTAAAGCTGCAAGATAAAATCGAGAAGTGCTGCATGTTGTTTTTTGATAATCATCCAGCAGATATTTGACACCTCTTTAACTTGACCAGTGGTGTTTGGTTATGTGCAACGTTGCTGACCAGAACACTCCAGCTTTAGCACAGAATGCTTGTTACAAGGTCAGGAGGGAATAAGGGAGCACATGGGCAGATAGCTGGTGTGACGTAGGTGAGTGGGGAGGATAGGCCAAGTCCCAGGGATTTTAAGTCCCGTTTCAAATGCATGATAGCTTGGGTCTTAGTATGTGCAAGAGATTCTGCCAAAAGAAAAACCAGAGAGATCTGATTTCTGTATTCTGTGATCCACCCTGCTACCAGAACGTTCTCCATACTTTCCCACGTATCCAGAATTGAGTCTTTGCTTTGCACCAGCCCCACACTGAGCCCTTAGCTATTTGTCTGGGCAAACTGCAGTGGGGCAGCATGTGGGGCACTACTTGTGCTGGCTGGCACATGTCAGTGCTGGTGGATCCTGTCTTTGGAGAAGGTACGATTGCCTTTTCTACAGAAGGGTCGTTATTTCAAGGGTGTCCTCTCCAAACACAATTTCTTATCACAGAAATTGTGGAAATACAGTATGTTTGGGATTTCTGCTTCTTTACCAGATATAATCAAAATCATTTTAAGGGCTCTCTAGTTGTTTGGTGGAGGAGAGGAGGAACTGATGAGGCAGGCAGCATGAGTCAACGGCCTTGTTTCGGCTGGGGGGAAAAAAAAAAAACAACAAAGCTAAAAAGGCTAATGGAGAAGTTACAAAATTTGTGCTTAATGTTAGGTACTTGAATTGTGTGATGTGTTCCTGGGCTCCTTGTCAGGGTTGGGTGCATGCAGGTTCTGCTCGAGGCTGAAGGCAGATGATTTGCATACCGGTGGTATAGGTAAATTTTGATGCCCTGAATGAAGGCCTGACAACAGGCTATGTAAGATGTCCTGAGTGTGGAAGGAGAGGGAGTTCATGTTTTGATTTTCTACCTTAGTGTGAGCTCGCTACCACCTTCTCCAGGCTGGACAGCAGTGTGTGCCTTCAGATTATACCAGTGGTAGTTGGCAGCCTTGCGGTCAGCAAGTACAGTTGTGTTAGCTGGCATTGGTTTGTTGGCTCCAACCAACTCCAACCCCCAGCTGCAGACAGCAACCTGGTGAACCTGCAGTCCCAATAGGAAATGTCTCAATTGATGAGGGGTAACAGAGACAGAAGTGTCCTTCTCAACCTCTTTTCTTTAAAGCACTTATATTGCTTGAATCATAGAATCACAGAACCACCAAGGTTGAGAAAGACCTCCAAGATCATCCAGTCCAACCACCAGTATTTCCTTCTAAACCATCATAGCTCTGAAGAAACAATGCATGTATTCAAATAGCTGGGCCTCCTGTATGTTTCACTGTAATTTCCCACTCAAAAAAATATTTTTGACGTTGTCTTTTAAAGACCTTTGTGCTGTATTTGTTCTATCATTACAGATAAATCTTTCTGGATTTCTTCCAAAACCTGAGTCAGACAGCTCTTTGACAAGTCTCTCAAGCTCAGAACGGAGTTTTATTTTTATAAACGATCGTCCAGTTCATCAGAAGGAAATATTAAAGGTAACACCCTCTACAATTTACAACCATAGAGCTGAAGGCTGCAGTAAAGCTGCTTGAAAAAAATGAATTTCAGATACACAGGAGCCCGGGATAGTTGATTTTTTTTTTTTTACTAGTAGCCTAGCAGAATTATACCTGTGGAGTTTTTCATGCAGGAACTCTATGTGGTTTTCCATAAGAGATTTTTTCTGAAATAAAAATCATAATTTTGTGCACTTCATCCTGAGAGCTTCTCGGGCTTTTACACACTTTCACTTTAAATCTGTATATGCATTGAATAAAAATGAAAGTGATAGTGCAGAAGCACTGGCTACAGCTAGGCATTGTGTAGGCAGAATTTGATACTCTTGGGTTTCTCACACTGCTGAACCTTGCAGCACCTCACTTGGAGCAGCACTGCTGTTCCAATCCTCACACCTCCCAGAAAAGAAAATTCAACTCATGCTGAAGTGTACATGTAGGGTTCAAAGTGGAGAAAATGAGTTCATTTTCAGTCTACACTGAACACTTGTGTTTGTGTTGTAAGTGGCAAACAAGGCTAATCCTGTACTACATCTCCACACAGTAGTTGATGTACCTGTTTCTTGCTGCAGTGTAAGGTTCAGTTTGGATTCCATAAAAGAGACCGCTTCTTAACCAGGGGCTGGATGGGGTTCAGGGCACTGTAACACAAAGTAAAAATACATTGACCTTCATTTAGGGCTGTTCTTGGAGTAGTGATTCCATTTATTTTGACCTAAATTTTTTTGTTTTTGTTGGGAGCTTTCAAGGGGATTATAGAGAAAGCAGTAACGGCAAGCAAATTTTGTGAAAAGTTGGAAATTTATAGTTGGGTTAACAAAAGGAACAGAAGAATCCTGTTCTGGGAAAAGGTCAACTCTGTGGTGCAAGTGTGACTTTCTCAAACAGACTTCGGTTTGGCTGAGAGAGGCAGTAATGTAGTTGCAAGCTGTGTAAGTAGATCGTCTTTAAAAAACAAACACAGAAATAATAGCATTTGGGTTGAGTGAGGAAGTAAGCATTAGAATTGCAGTCCAATTTGGTCATTTTTAAGTACAGGCATATCAAGTGTGTTTTTCCAAATATGATCGATGTATTTATTCAGAAGGTCAGAGCAGCTTCCATTTGTTTCTTGGAATTTGATCTTTTTTTGTTTTATTTTTATGTTTATTTAGCTATGAATACATGGGAACCACTAGTAAGTCCCCTTTTGGTGATTATTTTGTCACACGTGTATTCAAATATCTTTCTAGCATTCTATTAATTTGGGGAAAAAATGCAGTTATAATTTTATAACATCAATTTTTGTTCCTGTGCCTTTGTTTCTATTTTGTTGCCTTTACTGACATCTCTTTACTAAATTAATCTGCAGTTAATTCGACAGTACTACAGTGTGCTGATGCAAAAGGACAGCGCACGCTTATACCCTGTGTTCTTTCTGAATATTACTGTACCTGCCTCTGCTGTGGATGTGAATTTAACACCTGATAAAACTGAAGTTCTGCTGCAGTATAAGGTAACTAATGTCTTACTCTGCTGTGGAGTTGACAAGTTTTACTTACACGTAGCTAATAAGGGCTTCTGGAACCGCTGAAATGTGTGAAGGTAAACCGTGTTGCTGAAGTTTTTTAGGAGGATTATTCAAAACTCATTTCCTAGTTGATTTTGAAGATCATTTATGTGCTTTCACACACGTCTTTGTTTCCAAATAGCTTTATAGTGACCAAAGCTAAATGTAATTGTGATGTGTGTCCTTAAATAAATCTCATGCTTAGATTCTCAGTGCACTAAGTAATAAACATTTGTAACACTGCACACATTATGAAGGGGAAGTTGATTTCTGCTGAATACACTATTTGCTGTTATGTGCTTACATAATTGTTGACATCACTGAAGTTTTGGGATATCCTGTTGATACTATCAAGAGCTAAAATCTAACTAAACAATATGTGCCCACATTTTAGAGGTTATCTAGTGATATATGTTATGTAAATTTACTTTCACTTTTTGATACTTCACATAAAAAGTAATGCCACAGAAATTAACAAAGCTATTCACAGTGCACATAGGCAGTCACACAGGTAAATTTATCCTTTTCAATTAAAGTTCTTGTAGTTGTCTATGTTCATCTTGAAAACGTGTTGCCGGTGAAGTACCATTTATATCAAAATTAACATAGCATTCTCACACCTGTTCTAGTTTAAAACTTTTCTTTGGTATTAGAAAAAGGGTTGGGGTTTTCTTGTTTGTTCCTTATTTCCATCATTTGCTGCAGGTATTGACAGCACCTTTACAAATATGTTTACATCAGTTGGAGTGTTGCTGGTGCTTCTGTCTTTACTGTGAGCTTTTGATGCTGTATTAAGTGGGAATAGCTTTACTTGATACGGTTTTCAGCAGTCAGTCCACTGTGCTATAAAGAAAGTAGTTAATCACTTCCATGATTTCAGTGTAAACCAGTGAAGCAAAACACCTATCTCAAATATTTGAGGTGAAATTTGTCCATTTCAGAGCCTTTTTTACCATGTGTAAAAAACAAAATGTGCCATAATCTCTCCGGATTTGTTTGAAAAATATTCTGAATAAGATCACTTTGCTCTGTATTCTCAATATCTGTCAGTTTAGGTTTTTTACTCATGCTTCTGTGTGTCTTTTTTTCTGGTTGTTATTTTTGTTCATTTCTTTTGTTTGTTTGTTTTTTCTTCCCAGGACTGTGTCTTACTTGCTGTTGAAAATGTGTTGAAATCTTTGTATGGGCCACTACCTGCTGCAGTCTCTGGTGAAGCTAATAAAACAGATGTTACCTCAGAAGACATGTTTGTTCATAAAGCAAGACAAACAGATGTGGTTGTTAATGAAAAGGAACCATCTGGAAACAATGATCTACATGCTCATACTTCATTCCTTTCATTCAGCAGTGATGTGCAAAGTTGTCAAGCAGGAAAAAACACAGAGATCTGTTTAAATCATCAGAAATTCTCTGGTGATACTGTACATAGTCACCTAGAAGAAAAAGAGGCTTCTAAGAATGATGCCTTTCAAGAAGGTTCCTTACGTTTACTGTGTGAGGAGGAGCAGAACGGACAAAATACAACTGGTATTCCAAGTAACAGTGCTCCTATAGATCCTGGGTCTAAAAAAGATGGTGGACACCTTTTGAGTTCTGATAATGCTGAAGACGCCTTGGTCCCTGAAGACTTACCTGAAATCTCTGCTGTTAATTGGAGTATGGGAAATGCATTTAAAAACTCCTCAGGAGACAACCTGGAACCTGTTAAGGTTTTAATTCCTGGAGCTGGAGGGGCAATTAATAAGCAAAGTGAACGTAGTGATGAACAAAGCCACGACCCACAAATCCCAAATCAAACTGTAAAGAAAAGAAATATAATAGATGAGAAAACTGGACAAGTAACGGGTTATGACTTAATTCATGGTCGAACAATAAGGAAATCAAAGTCTGCATTTGAGCATTTCATCCAAGAATATCGTTCAAAATTATTTTCTGAAAATCCGAGGTGTAGCATGAAGGACATCCTATTGAAAATTGAAGAGCTGTGGAAGAATTTAAATGAAGAAGAAAAGCACAAGTAAGTTTCCAGGCTTCATCTTGCTTCTAAATCTAGTAGTTAGCAATGAGCAAATGAGTCATCTGTTGTGAGCGGGAGAAAGATTATAACTTCCCAGTTATTTATGAAAAACAGAACAGAAAATTATTTTTGTCTTTTCAAGGTCAGTAATGGTATTGTCAGACATGCACTGCTGATTTGAGTTGCTTGTTTGGCCACTGTATTTGCTGTGCAACAGTTAAGTAGGGACAATTTCCCTGAATTGTTATTTAGAAATAACAGGCAAGAAATGTGCTTTGTGAATCATACAAACATCAGCTTTTTAAGGGCTTGCCTGTGTATCGTCACTCAGAAGCACTGTCAATGAAAACCGGCGCAGTGATGAATGAGGCACTGTATCGTTCCTGCAGAACTTTTTCCAACCAGCAGTTCTCTTTTTATTGCTTTAAAGTGAGAATTCTCTTTTAGGATCTTTAGTACTTGAACATTTGGAAAACTCCTTTCCCCTATATTTAGTAAGTATCCCAACCCAGTCTACCCCATTATTGTATGTATAAAACCCAGTCAAACGACACAAGGAATTTCTTTTCCCCCAACAGCTATTCCAGTGCCTGTTCAGAATATAGTGCAGTTCAAATGCTAGTGGGTCCTTTGTTTCACTCTAAATCAAACCTCTTTTCAGATTACAGTCTGAGTATCAACATATCAACATTTCCTATTCTACACTGTTCTATCAGTGAATTTTTGAAATTCATCTGCAAGTAAGGAAAATATTTTAGCCTTCTTTAGTTTGGGTTTTCTGCTGTCTTTTTTTTTTTTGGAGGGGGGATCTGGTGGTCAGTTAGTTAAAATGTATGCGGAATTTATATTGCAGGGAAAGATCAATTAGAATAACAGATTTTAAGGAATTCTAAGACATTTCAAATGTGGAAGGTTCTTTTAATGTTGTGAAAATAGAACACTTCAGAGAATCATACAAAGGAGAAAATAATAGTCCTTCAGCAGTTTTACATGCTCATTGTCAACAGAGTCACTTAAGTGTTGTGACAGTGTGTTTTTTTAATGGTACAGAAGTAAAGAGAGGGAATTAAGTAAGCCACCAATCAAAATAATATAATTTTCACACTGCTGAGAGATTTGATGAGGAGAGTGGTGCAAAAAAGAAGCTACACCTTTAGAATTATTCGAGGTCACTAAGCAAGCAGCGTGTTACAATCACAAAACCATGTGTGTGAGAAATGGTGTTTTGCCCACCTCTCCTTCAGCAGGAATATTAATGTAGAAATAGAAATCTACTCCAATTGTACTTATACTTTTAATGAAACAAAACTAAAGGTTCTGCCAGCTGCTTCAGAAAATTTTAATTTGCTCTGCTTTAGCTTTTGGGATTTCATGGTTGCTTTCCTGGTACAACTGTTATGCTTAAGAGCGTGCCTACAGATTATGTTAGTTCAGGAAGGAGACCTCTCTGGTAGTGGAATTTTTCTTACCTAGAGAAATGAAGAAATGAATACAGTACGGCCCAGTAGATGTTGGAGTCGGTGAAAGATTTACCACTAGTTGTATCAGTACTTTTCAGATTTGGTATATCTGTTTCACTTTCAATCTTTTAAAATAGCCCCAGAAAACAATAACTGTAAAGAGACTGTAGTTAACTTTTCCTTCACGGCAACAATTTCAAAGAACTGTTCCATGTCTGGCAGAGAGCATGTTTTTGCCTACCGGACACTCTGGATGAATTGGGCCACCTAGAGGTAACAACAACTTTGTATAGAACAGGGCTGCCAAAGGGCTGTGCTCCCACTGTGCCTCCAGGTTCAGACAACCCTCCTGGCAAGACATCACTTTTCTGGGCTGTAGACCTCTGTCCTTCTGCCACAAAGTCACATGTGTGGGTGACAGTGGATACGCTTGGCTTCAGCATTTCTGTTTGCCTCTGTGGCTTCTCTAGCAGGTCTAAATGAATTTAAATCCCTTTTGGGAGCAGCACAACCAACAGATGTCACATAATTACATGGAATAGCCTTTTCAAAACAAGCCAGCACTCATTACACAACCAGAATGTAAAATTTTATGATTTTTAGGTTATAATAGAAGAGGAAAGCTTCCATGCATGTCCATATTGGCAGCATTGCCTATCCCCTTGCTTTGCAAAGCCAGAATTTAATTTCTTATACTCACTCTGTTCTTTCTTAACACAGCTTGTGCGTGTGTCTGGCCTTAATATTTCTTGCTTATCAGGCTCAGGTAGCAGTGGGAGAACTCCATGCGACTGCAATGGCAGCAGCAGCCCCATATGTCTTGAAGGTCTAAGAGAGGTTCGGAGACACACGTTATCATGGGGCTAACAGATTACCTTGTCAGTGCTGGATGGTAATGCTTCATAGATATATTTGTATCTTGGGAGAAATATCATTTTAGGTAGTATGGCCTTTGCTTTCTGTTGACAGATGGGAGTGTGCAGCGCATAGACTCTCATTAGTGACTAGCAGTAGCTAGCTTCTCTCTGGTACTTTTTTGTTGCTTTAATAAATTTTTCATGCATCTCATGGCTTGTGTGACTGCATTATTTGCAGCTATTGGAGAATAAGTTAGCAATTGGTAATTCCAGGAAAAAAAGTATTGTTTGTTATTGTATTGTAACCGTTTCATAACCGTTTCACTCTTAGGAAAGTGCACTAGTCACCAGGAACCAAGGCATTTCAGAAACACTGTGAAAAGCTCATGCAAGCAACTAAAAACTTAATTGCCTTTTCCCTTCACGAAGGCAGGAAACACAGAAATAGAATGTATCATTTGCATGATATGGTAGTTGGGTTTACTGGTTATTGGTGAGTTGATTGGGTTTCATATTATGAAGAGGCTGAAGCTGAGAGGTATTACATTCATAATGTGGTGCCTCTTTTCTCATCTTGTTTAAGTCAGTGCAAGTGACGATTGCTGCTCAGAATAGACAAATTCAGATTTATTCTGTTTTATTTCTCTACTCAGTGTAACAGTCTGAGAGACTTTGTGTTATTTTTGTTTATTTAGTTAAGCAAAACCCTCACAGTCAGATCTTGCAAGGTTAGAATTTTTCTGGTGGTGGCCTAAAATGAAAGCATGTAGGACTTACTTTGGAATTGTTTTGGTTCTGAATTATCTTTATCAGTACTCTTGTAGTTAAATATTGTCATGTGTTCCAACTGTCTCTGTTCAAAACAGTATTTATTGATCTGGTCAATAGTATGAATGCATTCTGTATTAGAAAAAGTTCTGGTCAAGTGATTTCATCGATATATTTTAAAAGGAGCAGATGTTTTTTGTCTTAGCGTTTACTCCATATTTTCTAGGACATGATTTATTGCAAGAAACTATTTAAGCTGACTTTTTTTAGTTAACTAAATATTGGTACCATATGTGAATGCTAGCACATCATAATTAATTGCAAATGGTGACCTTTTTGTTGACCTTAATTTTCCAGCACGCATACACATAATTGAATCAAACTGTTCCAGCAAGTAGCAATAAATAAATATGACCAGTTAAAATATTTATTTCCAATACTTACGTATGATAGCACTGCCTTTTATTGGAGGTCAGATTGGTATGAATAACCTGACAGAATTTAGAGTATCAAATCAGGGCAAAAGAAGGAGGTAGCACATTGCTCCTTTGTCCTTCAAAAAAGTGAGGTTCATACATAGGAGGCAAGCATAAACCATCTATAAAACTTTAGCTATCTTCTTGATGTTTACAAGCTCATTAAGAATCCCTTCATGTTTTAGAGCTTTAGTATGTAGTAGTGATATCAGTCTTGATACCAAGACTGAATTTAGAATGGCTCACTATCAAGTCACTTTTTGAAAAATCTGTAAATTTATTATTTAGAATTCTGTGATAATCATATCTAATCTGGATTTGCATGCTTTTTATTCATGTGGCTGATCTTACTTGAAGTCACTGTGCTTCTTTACCTTAAGTAAAGCCTGAGGCTTATGAAATTATTTAACCTCCAAACTCCTAGTTAAATGCTAGGACTCCACTTGAAATTTGCAGAGCTCTGGAAGTTCAAGTGGCCTTGTGAATAGGATTGGATGTGCCTATGACAAAACTTCTGAAACTATATGTCTCATGCAAATTCAAGTTAAACATAGTTTTGGGATTGAGGTCGAAGGCAATCTGCTGTAGCTGATTGTATAATGAAGTTTATGTATCCCCTTTCAACAATTCAGATTTTCCTGGCTGTCATAAGGAAGGAAAATTTCAAACTCATCATCCTCACTGGGTAGTAGGGGCACAGTCCCTGATCTCTTTTCCACCCCAGTCATAGTGGAAAGCGTATTGATGTGGTTACTTGAGTAAAAACATGGGAGTTTTTACCTTGCTAGGAGCAGTTACCTTGTCTTTTGGTTTCATGTGTTAGGGGTTGGAGTCTGTGATTTCATGTTTAGTTCAAATAATTTCTTTTCTTTTTTAAGGTATGAAATAAAAGCTGCTAGAGACCTGGAGCGGTACAAGAGAGAGGCTAGCAAAGCCATGCAGGAAGCAGCAAACAGACCGGTAAAGGAGAAAGAAAAACAGAAGCCCAAGCTGAAGACTCTTCTACCCAACCAGCAGAAACTTGACAAAATGTTGCATTTTCAAATTGATAAGAAACCAAAGTGTAATAAGCCTGTGAAAGTCGTTACAGTGCCTTTTTCTCTGAGTTCCTGTAGACCTCAGTTTCAGAAGCATGAGAAGAGTGATTCAGATAAACATGAGCTTTGCCTGATCCGTCGCCAGAGTTTTCCTGATATCTGGATACTTGCTACTGAAAAAAAGCTAATGTTGCTGAATCCATATAGATTGGAAGAAGCCCTGCTGCGTAAAAGATTGCTGATGAACCATATCCTTCCAGTAGAGAAACTGGACAAGCCAGTTGTGTTATCAGACAGGTAGAGTACAAATAAGAAAAAAATTGTACTTTCTGTTATTTATAATTATGTAGAGTAGGCTGGTAAGGCCCTGTTCACGAATTCTGTGACTATTTTAATCTGTAAGTGTACAAAACATAAAAATATGGTCTTACAGATTAACAAAAGAACAAATAATGAGCAAGTCTGGTCATTTTGCAGTAGAAACGAGTATGAATTTTTACCTGTTTGGAAATGTAGTGAAGACAAATGTCTTCTCCCAGAGGGGGGAAGTAAATGCTCCACATTTTCACAGCTTCACTAGCTAACTTTCCCATGGATTATGGAATGGCTGACATAATTATTACGATTTGTCTAAACTTGGTCATTCTGTAAGATATGTAAATAGTTGATATTCTGTATTTCTTCTTTAAAAAGTCTGCTTTTTTCCTAAGTACTGTTCAAAATCGTAATCACTCTTGATATCTGACATTTTTTAATGTATTTTTCTGAGCAGTTTTAATTTTAAAATTAAGGATTTTACCTTACCTTTTGGGTGTTGGTTTGTGCGGTGTTGCTTTTTTTCCCAGTCTTCTTGGTGAATCTCACTATATGGATGCTCTTCATAAAATGCAGAAGGATTACCAGACATTAAATGGATTGAGTTATTTGTCAGATCCAAGGCTTGTAGCAAATGGCTTCCAGATAAAAGTGATAGAAGGTATGATAGTTTTAATGTCTTCTAGTCTAATTGAAGCTTTTTTCCTTCTGATTTAATGATTTAAATGATTTCTATTTTGTTATTCTACATTGCATTATCATTGAAAGCACTGAGATCCTGTTTTCCCAAACATTAAGATTATATTACTTTGCTAGAAATGTATTCATTATACACAATAGTGATTAATGGAAACTAATAACAGAAAACATGAATAAAAAAGGAAGTGTATGTAGCTGGTGGTATAACCTCCTATTTATACGTAAGCATCTCATGACATTTTTATTTCTTTTCTCAAAATGCTGAACTGCCATTCTGGCAGAATGATTAAACTGATGAGACTTCTATAGTCAAGGCAGCTTCTTCCAAGATGATAGTTACTTGCAGAATCTTATGTGAGTTAGTGCTTCAGCTGACTGTCCCTCTTCTGTTCAGCAGCTGAGAAGGTCCAGTAAGGAGATGGAACTGGTTACAGGCCTTCTTTCATACCAGGATTGTAGCACAGTGCCCAAAGGGGCCAGTAAAGAGTGGGTCAGAGGATCATCATCAGCTGTTTTGATAGAGGTTGGTCTCCACTCTGAGATTCTTTCAGCTTAGCAGTAAAAATTAAGTGCTTATAGATTTTTTTTCTGAAGAATAATTTACAGCAATGCTGTTTGAAATCCAGAGACAACCCACCCAGAATCAGTTCTGAGCAGCAGGATTTCTCCAGCAGAATTCCAAGAAAAGCAAGCTTCCATGGGGGCAGTACCTAGCTGTGACAGCTCATAGAAAAGGTTCACTATAAGAGCTGTTAGAAATGTTATAGCTTCATGTGTTACAGATCCCCACATATGTACAGTGATGACAGATCTGCTCAAACATATGGGATCTTTTAAGAGTAGGTACAAAAAAGGGATGTACAGTAACTCCTTCTGTCAGAGCCTGGCTCTTTGGAAGAACAGAGCCTAAGCTGTTTTCTTTTCTGAACCACGTACAGCAAAAGAAGAAGGATGCTTCCTTCTGAGTGGCTAAATCCTGTGATAAATAACAAGAACTGTCCAGAAGTGTTCATGAAAGCAATTAGATTGAATCATTAAGGGAATCAAGTACTTGTGATAAGAGACAGCTCTTAAGAAGCTGTCAGTCAAGCCAATCAAAAACTGAGCAGGTCAACAACTTGTCTCTAGACAAATATGGGAGGAAGGGATTGGAGGCCTTTTTGCTCGTGTACCTTCCTATTTTTTTCTATCCTTCTAAAACGGATGTGAATAAATCTGTTGTTAACATTTTTGAAGACTGTTTTCAGATAGCAACAGAAGAGAGTTGCTGAGCAGTCTTGTGAAACTGGAAAAGGCAATCTACTTTTAAAATAGTTTGCTTAGTACAAGAGTGAAATTGTGTGATAGAACATTATAAGACTCAGCGTAGTAACCAGGAAATAGTAATCATTTTCCTGTGTCCCTAACTATATAAAATTAGGAAAATGAAGTCTTGTGAGGAACCTTGTCCTTGTTTAGTTTGCAGTTTAATGAAAGTACAAACAGTGCTCTGTTGGCTTTATGTACAGTATACAGGTTGAGGAACCATTTAATCAAGGACTTGATGGTTACTGTATGGCCAGCCCATCTGAGGAATGGAAATCTAATTCAGTTCTTAGTCACAGTCTTATATTTTAACTACTTGAATGAGACATTAATAACAATAATAATTTGAGGCTCGTCAGTCATATTTATAAGCCCCTGCTAATGATGTTATGGCAGTTACAGCTCCTGTTATAGCATGTTATTGCAGATGAAGGTAGAAATGCCAACAGAAAAAATGGAATTTCACCCAGCCATTTTTTCCAACTGACCTATGGATTTTTACTTAATACTTCATCAGTTCCTCTTTTTTTTTCTTCTTTTCCTTATTATTTTCCCTTAAATTCAGCCGTGAAATGCACTACTATCTACTTCTATTACAAACACTTTATTAAAGTTATTTTTCAGAAACATAAGTATTAATTATTAACGCTCCTTAACTGTCTGTTCTAGAAAATTTCTCTGTGTAGTTTGATGTTCTTTAATTTAAAGATCCTTCTTCTATTATCTTGATGTAAAACTTACACCTGAATATTTGTGCGACTTGTCAACTTTAGGAACAAGTTCATTTCATTAAACATTCTACAGTGTCCTTTGTTTTGTCTTGTGGTTTGTTTTTTTTTTTTTAACTCAGACACAGCCTATAAACAGGACATTTACTCAGTTGCTTTTGAACTTGAAGTTGCCTCAGGTTTTGTTTCTTGAGTATATATTAATTGACAGAAATTCTCTTTTCTTACAAGCAAAGGTTTGCTTTCTTTATCTTTGCACTTGAATGTGATGGTTGTATCCCTAATAATATTTTTTTGCAAAGAAACAAGTCTTTTAATTAATATTTCTGAATAAGGCTGTGATGCATCAGTTGGTCCTTAACCCTATTACTGTCCAATTTGTCAGCTCTCATAAATCTTCTTTTAATCGCTGTTCCTTAATGTAGACTTTATTCAACTCCTGTGATAACTTCATACCTTGTTCTTCCTAATAAGGACTTTGTGTCTGATCTTGTTCTACCGTTTTATTGGGAAATCTTTGAACTTCTGGCAACATTTTCTTTTTTCATGAGTCCAGCCTTTGGACAGTAATTTCTCCAAGAGTGCAGGAGTTTCAGATCATGCTTGGGTATGGCTTCTTTTAAGGCTACGTCTGTCCTTTGAATATTCTCTTGCTGTAAAATGAGAATGTAGTTTACCTTTGGTTTGAGTGATTGCAACCAAAGCTGTTTTAAGTGTTCTAGACATTGGATATGCCGTGCTGTCTTGTTTGGCAGACCAGTATTTTTGTTTCTTTGTCCCTCTGTATTGATTGCTCAGCACTCTAAAGAGTTTTTAACTAGATTTTTTTCTGGATAGCTGACAGTGAAAAACATGTTGTGAAATAACTCAGAAAACGTTTCTTGCCATAAATGTCACTTAGGCAAAATCAATGGTTTCTTTGTAGAACATGCCAATTGTGATCCTCTTAAGTGGTGACGCTGAGCTCCAGTTCTTCTTCACCACCCTCCCACCCACTCAGTGTTCTGGCCTTGCTGAGACTTCAAGTGATGCTGCCTTTGTGAGAATGCTCTTATTGCTTTTACTTCTGGGTTCCTCCCGGCATTTGTTTGCTGAGTATAGCTTGCAGTGATCTCTTATGTACAGAGAACCATTTCAGGAAGTAAGAAGGATTACTTTCCATCCAGTTCTTCTTATCATATTTATGGTATACAGATGTTCACAACAAATCTGCTTCCTTTGTGAAAACTTGAGATGGGTGTAAATGCTTGGGTGGAAATGAACTGAGAACTGGCACTGTGTCTTACTCTTTTTTTTATCTATGTGCTTTGAACTAAGGCAAAATTTTAGAGTAGAGCTGTACCTGAGCTACATGTATACAAAGACTGTCTTTACAAGGTTTCACAGAGCAGTAACAGACAAACAACCTGCCTTCTTTGATAATACAAGCTGCTGCTTGTAAACAACCGGTGGAAAATCATGCTGCTACTTTACTTCAATTTGATTTTGATCAAAGTCTCTAAGCTAGGTAGTCTTACAGTGTCACCTAATCTAGGTGGCAGCTGGAAGAGAACAAATTTTCCTGGCCATCGAAAAGGAATTATCCAAAGGTGATTGTGAATGTTTTGTTTGGACAGACAAAGGGGAAATTTTTAGCAATGAGAAATCCACATTTTTAGTCAGTTGAAAACTAGTTTATTTGTTCATTGAAATATTTTCCTTGGAAGTTGGAAAGCATTTCACAGAAATCACTATGGAAACTGCTTGAAGACTGCTGTTTGAGTACTCAAAAATTTTAATGTATATTTTGTCAAAAATTTACAAGTATATTGAGGTTTGGACATCTGCTTATATCATCAAACGTTGCCAATATCTGAATTCCTGCAAAGACTTGCAGATAAATATATGTTAGTCAGCATGCAGTGCGCTACTTTTCAGTCTGAAGAACGTAAGCAGAAAATGAGAAATAGAAGTACCAGAGAAGGAGACTTCAGAGTTTGTATTATTTGTTCTTATGGTGTGCTCTAAAGCCTGATTTGACTTATTAGTAAATGAACAGTATTGTGAAGTTAAATCTGACTGTCAACATTTGCATATGGAGAAATTGTTATTGGTAAAACCTGTGAGTTTCAAGCAGTCTCATTAGCAAGCGTGTCTGACTGGTTTGCTGCATTTGCAACAATTTGCTTTGCGGGTCCAGAATCTTACTGTCATGAAATTTTAAGGGTAGCTCTGGGGATTCAAACTTTTCAACTGAAAATCTTAAATGTAACGAAGTTCTATGTCCTACATTTGGTAGCCTATATTGCAAATTATTGAAAAGCTGTCAAATAGGATGTGCTGTTATTGTAGAGAGAGCAGCGTAAGTAAGTGATCTGAAACAGCAACACAAGGTTAGTCTTAGTTTAATTAAAACAAAAATTGCATAAAAATGAAGAGAAGTGGTGAAGGAGATTAAGAACGGATTATCTTTCCTGCGGTCTCTTGCTGCCTTTCTTATGGAGAAATACTGGCGTTGTATGTGATCCTATTTCAGCTTTAATAACTGGTGAACTTTCAGAAGTGTTGCTTTCAGCTGGTTTCGACTGCAGGCTCACAGCAGTACGTAAAAATGTCAGGCTTTAGTAGCTAAGATTAGGGAAAGACAGCTTGAGGAAGAGGATGACAACAATGCTGGATGAAAAAGGAAGTAAAGTTCCAAATTTGAAGTGGTGCTAAATATGTTGCTGGAATGAGATTATGTGATTCTTAGTTCCTTGTGTCAAATTCCCATTCTGATCAAAATATCTCTTGCCACGAAGCCTGAAAAACTCCATCAGCATTATTTACCTTTATGACATATCCATATTTAGACAACTCTTTTCAACCTAGACAGTCCTTCTGTTCATCTGCAATCTCATTTAATTAGTGTCAAATTATCCATGACCAGTCATGGATAACAGTCTAATTGCAATATCTAATACATTGTCTTGACTTACATTGTATGTATATATTTGTCTAATTTCTAAAATCTTCAGATACTTCTAGTACTATAGCTTGTGTATTATTAGGTAGATGAACGATCCCTTATTGCAGTTCTTTAGTTTAATCCAGTTTATACCAGTCTGCTTGTTTCCTCCTTTTTTGACTTCACAAAGTCATTCATGACCAGGCTGAATGTATGTGATTTTCCCACTTTAAGCCAAAACAAAGGGAGGATTTATTCTCATTTTGAATTGTAGTGGTGTCACGTGAGTGTGTATGAAGTCTGTCATCAAGACTTTAGATACGCAGACTTCAGATCTTTCTCTGCAGTGCTGGGGGAAATAACTGCTTTTTGTTTTGGTAGAAGTTGAATTGGTTATGATGGAAGTTGAACTGTACAGATGTTTAAACCAGATACATAGAAAATAGGGCCAACATTATTTTAATTATTTTCAAATTAAATTGTATGTTATTACAAGCTTCTAATTTAATTTAATGTATGTTTTAATCAAAGCTGTAGAAGTTTTAATTAGAGCTATGCTCAAAGCTGGAAATGCTGTAGAAGGTTTTAAGCATTTCAGCAGCACCAGCTAGGATTTGAATCAAATCAAACTGGTAGGCTTGTGATGTCAATATGGACAAATCATCATTTTGAAACCTTGAACAAAGAAATACTTTTCAAAGGAGGAGTAAAGAAGGTTTCCTAATTGCATTGAATTCACTGTACTAATCTATTAAGTGATTTTAGATCCATTTAACTTTCTCTGAATTGCTCCAGAGTAGAAATCAAAGCAGTGTGTAAATTGCTGTTTTGTTTTTTGTATTTTCAGGTGCTTCAGCTTCAGAAAGCTATATGGAAATAGAAGGAATGGCTAATTGTCTGTCGTATTATGGTGTTTCTGATTTGAAAGAAATTCTGAGTGCAGTAGTTAACAGAAATGCAAAGGAAGTGTATGAATGCAGACCTCTGAAAGTGATAAACTACTTGGAGGTAAGACATAACAATTTACTTGTAAAGATTGGCTAGCTAAGCTCGTAGCAAGACTTTAAAATCTTGAAGCTTGAGATTCTTTTTTCAATTTTCCATTTTAATTAATACAGTTCTAGTCTGAACAGAAGTTACTTTTGAAAAGGAGAATGCCAGATCCTCTCTGAGGTGTATGAGCTCTGCATTGCTTACCAAAATACTTCCATCAGGCATGCTACAAAACAGTCATCCATTGTGATCTAATACATGCTGAGAGTTTATGCTCACAGGGTTTTTCTGCATATGTAGTTTTCAGACTGGAAAGGCATTTCTCCTTGTTAGAATACAGAAAAGTCATAAAATCACTTTCAGGCTCTTCAATGCAGTTGAACCCAGAATAGTAATCAAATTTTTATTCCCTCCTAAATAGATCTGTGAAGAAATAATAAGATGATTTAAGTTATTAATTTATGAAAAGTAGGCATTAACGGAAACTTAATTCTTGTGTGAACCTCAAAGAGTTGCATGTCCTGAGAAGCAGAAAGTGCACCATTTCCACTTGACAAAGAAAAATTCTTATGATACATTCAAAAAGGGGATAAGAGACAAAGGGAATCTTCTTTGCCAAAAAAGCAAGCTGGCACTGGAATTAAGACATTGAAGTGAAAAAAATGAAGTCTCACATGTAGTGAAATCCATATGCTTCTGCAAATGCTTGTATTTAGTTAGCATCAATAACTTCTGAAGTTAAGGGCAGCACATGCTGACAACTGACAGTCTCAGAAGTCCACTCTACTCAAGGCACTAGTGACTAAGTTTTGCAGGAAACCATGTGTTCTTTACCAGCAGCCAGCACTGTTCACAAGCAGCCAGAGAAATGGTACTTTAGTAAAAGAATCTTTAAGCTGTTTTCTTTCAGATGTTGTTATGCAACAGTTGGAACCAGAATTACATTTTTTTTTATGTTTGATATGTAGTAGATAAAATTGTCTGCCCAGAGACAATAATAGGCATGAATTTACAGAGATAGCTAATAAATATTATATTAGTAAGAGCTGGAATAATTAAAGGAAGTAGTTTTCCATAATTTCTTATCTTATTTCTAAATAGTTTACTAATGCCATCTTAAGCCACAGTTCTTGAGATATCTGTTCAAAAGAATACCGAAGTATATGTTAAGTTTATTTTCATACAAGCTCTTGCCTATGTGTTTTTCTGAATTTGGGTACATAGTGAGGCCTAGCATTTACATGGAATATGTACTTAACCTTTTGAACATTCATTATACAAATCTTTTGCTGCTTTTGTCAGTAAATTTACAGCTGCCTTTGCAGCAGGTGAATTATTGTCATGCACTCTTAACCAAAGAGTCAGTTAAGTATTGAGACAGGAATGTAGCCTCGTTTGAGGTGGAAGCTTTAAGTTCCCTACTTACAAATACCTGTCTGTCAGGTGGAGTTGGAATGGAGTTGATTTGCGTGAATGCTAGCGTGTGTGTGTGTATGAAGGTACAGTAAAGGTGTACATCAAGAGACTATCAAAGCATTATTAAAAGCAATTGGCGATCTTGTGAGAAACAGTTCAAAAGAATGTTCAGCAGTAGTAGTAGCTGGAAAATGCATATTCCCTGGAAAGTATATGGCTTGCATTCGTGAAAAAAATAGATTTTAAAAATAAGCAGTGGATTTTTTATTTTTTTTTTACCATCACTTCGTGTTCAAAGATGCAATTTCTGTCCTAAGTTGGAGTAATCAGCATATCTTCTTCTTTGGCTATATTCTGGCAAACTCAGAAGCAAAAATAGAGAAATGGTCAAAGAAAAAGCCTCCTAAGTCGAGAATGGTCCACTGTGATCATTTTTCCATTTGGAAGAGAGGGCTGGGGGGGGAAACCGCTGAAAAGATTCATACTAAAAAATGATAAATGTTGGTTTCATTTCTTGTGAAGGCATGAAAGCCTAAGATAACAGCAGGAAACAAATTAATTTTGAAGCTACTGATTCTTTGAGGATATTTGCTAGTAGTGCAGTGTTTAGCTGTACTTTTGATTTCTAGTACTGTGGGATGACAGCATGTAGTATGTATTTAATAAAGCATTGACCTAAAATTTCATGATAGTATTTTTAATACTCTGTTTAACTATTTGTTTAATTTATATCAGTTCACAATTTTGTGGTGTGGAATGCATCTTGCGAACTGCAGTACTGTCACCACCAGAGAAATGAGCTATTCAGAAACATGGGGACCCTAACAGAAAAAGTGCAAACATAACCAGTAGACTACATGTGACTGTCTCAGAAGAGCATGAAATGACCTGTATGATATGTTTAGAGTTTAATTTGTGTTTCTGGGATTCAGAGTATATAAATGTAAAAGAAAACATTGACCTTTCAACACTGAGTGCTTAATTCATGTTTTCTGATAGCACCAGGTTAACATATTACAAAGCAGAACTTTAAAACTATTGGGTTTTTTGTTTTGTTTTTCCTTTCCACAGGGAGAAGCAGTGCGTTTAGCTCGGCAGCTGCCCTTACATTTGTCAAAAGAAGATGTAGAAAACACAATTTACAGGATGAAGCAACAGCTTGGAAGGGAAAATAAAGGCTGTGTTCATGGTCGTCCTTTTTTTCATCACTTAACAGATATTCCAGAAGTTAACAAGCCATAACTCCAAGGAAATTATTCAGTAAATGGAACATTTTGTTTGGGATCAGATTTCTCTTGCTTAATTTTGATCGTTATTCTGTAACTTCAGCACGTTTTGTGTAAAGCTTTTGTATAGTTAGTTTTTGTTTTCAAAGTTCACCTTGATATTTTTTTTTTAATTTAAATTCAAATGCTACTTGAGAAATGGAAATAAATTAGTATTGTAGAGAAAAGATCCACTATTTTTTAAAAGAATTTATTAAAGAAATGTTCTCAACTTGTTTGGTGCTTTCCTCACTACTGCAGATTTAGATAATATCAGTATGTCAAAATGTTTTAGATATGGTTATAAGCTGCTCTCAACAGAGCTTGGCAAAATTTATTGCACTATGACAAGATATGTCATTAATTTTTAAAGGAAGCCAAGTAGCAGTAAGTTATTTAAGCATTTAAATGTGACCCTACCATATATAGTTGTTATTGGCACATATTTATATTGTTGGATTTCTGTCTGTAAATTGTTAGATTTTGTGAGTATTGAAGTCCTACAGTTCAATCTCTGAAAAGCTTTTCTATTAACTATGCAAATAACTCCAATTATCTCTAACCTTCAGGTGCAAAGTTGTGATTCTTAGAAGTTTGGTACAATGTTAAAACTTAAGGTTAACGAAAACTGGCTTATTATTTAAAAGATGAATGGATCAGAGTCATGAGAGTACAGGTTAGCACTGAAAGCAGATGTCAACACACCTGTGATAGTGTAGTGCTATGCATAAACCATTTGCCTTTTGGAAGCAGACAGTCCTCAGTCGAGAAGAGCATGGCATAATTAGGGAGAAATCTACTATAAAAGAGCTGCTGATGGTGGTAAACTTGTTCATTCTGTTTCTACCATATTGTAGCATTTATTCCTACATTTCAGTCAGTAGGCTACTTCCATAATTTTACTAGATTATGCCTTCTGTGCAACACATCTCTGGAAGCATATGTTTAAAAGTTTCAAAAAAGATCACCTATAAATTAGTGTGTATCCCTAATTGTTTTGTCACAGCACATTTCAGTACTGTGTAAGTATGGGAGTTAACCTAACTTTGCAGTGTTTCTGTGGCTGCTAGGTAAGTGGCTAAAAGAATGATGAAAAGCCTGAATTTAAGCTGGTTTGTGAACAAGAATATCAGACTATCAGCTAAGGAAATGCATAGTGTGAAAATGTAAATTACTGATATATTGCTCTGTATCAAACAGTGTTGAACTAATGAATGATGCAACAGGAAGTAGTATTTATTACCTCTGCTGATACATGGAAGGATGGTGCAACAGCAAAAGTGCAGTAGCAAACAAGGTACTCCCTTCCTGTTGCCATCTTAGCAAAAATATGAGCACAAGGAATATGCGACTTCCTCTTTTGCTGTTCCCTACCTCTCATGCACCTGTCATATGTCAGATTGAGAACAGCTGAAATACTAGGCAGTGAGAGCCTTCAAGAGTAGTAATTAAGTGTAAAGGGGGAAGCAGTAGTCTCTTTCTGGAGAAAAGGTTGATATCTGCTGTCACGCTGAGGGAGTCTTAAGACATAGCTATGAATATCCTGGCCATGAGAGACCTGCAGAAGGCATGGGGTCGATGTGCTTGACTGAAAAGCCAGCAAGAGGAGCATGCATCCAAAGCCTGGGTGATCAAGCAGCTGCCACCTTTCTTTTGGATTCTCATTAAGTTTCCCAGCTGTGAAAGATCTTAACAGGTTTTGTTGTGTTGGGATGACTTTAAAGAGAGTGTTAAGAGCCCCATCAGAGGCCTAACATAACCGGTTATACTCACGCTGAGGGCAAACCCCATGGGCAGAGGGGAGTCATTAGAGAAGGAGGGGTCAGCAGCACAGGGTCTGGCGGAGGAGAACAGAGCAGGGAGGGCACAAGCAAGGTATCTTAGTTTGTAATGAGAACATGAGTGGAAAACTAGGTACGTGTTGGCTGTGAATGCCGCTCACTGCAGAAGATGTGAATTTTCAGAGTGAAAGTGAGTACGTGTATGGAGGCACAGGAATGAGATGTGACTCTTGGCTCTGAGGGGAAAACAGGATCCCAGCGTGGCAGTGGATGTGGGAGGTTATAGTTTATTTTTACTCTTGTTTGGATACAAACCGTTAAGAGTTGAAAGAGCAGCCCTAGCCACGAGAAATGCCAAAATCAATCGAGAGAATAGATCACCAAGTGAAGTCTGCTAGAAATTAAACGAATACACGCACTGATTTTAATTAGTTAGGAAGAGTAATTAATTTTATGTGATAATAAGTTCTATATGTATATATTAATCTCAATTAGCCTATATAGCACTATCTGAGTTTAACAGTTGTTTATCCGAAGGTGGGTAGGCTGAGGTTGTGGTAAATTGATATGACCAGCATCTGCACAGGTGCTGAGCCGGCTCCGTTGCCATGACAACAAACGAGCAGCAGGCATTTCTGTGGGGCAGGTGTGCTTTCCTCCTGCCTTCCTGACCAGGCTGGTTGTCCTCTGCTCAGAAGGTGCATCAAGATATCTTCCTGAGGTAGGTGGATGTATAGTTTGTTCTTCTTTTAGTCTTTGTGAGGTGCTGAGGCTGGGTGCTGGCAGTGAGTGCTGCAGGACGGCGCTGTGGGGACGAGGCTGTACCTCACCTCAGCAATGGCGGCTGCGGCACTGCGAGTTGAACTGGGAGTTGTTCTGGTGTTGTGCTGAGGGGACTTGGTGATGGGTTTAGATGGTTTAAGAGAAGCCAAGCAGCGCCTTTGCTGCAGTGGTTCTTGCATTGAAAGACTTATCAGCTTTGTCTCTTCAGTGCACCAAGGGTATTGGTGGGCAGCAGCCCTGAACTGTGTTCCCTATTTGGAGGGAAGGACAAATGCGTGAGAGGTGAAACACTGTGTAAAAGTGTAAAAGCTTGGTTACTAGTAGACTTTCCCCTCAAAGGATGAGCTGGAGCAGGACAGGGTGCAATGAAGCAGGCAGGGCACCTCAGACCTGGCCCTCTCCACCACCAATGGCCGGCTCTGGGCACCTCAGGGGAGTTCCAATATTTGCACTGCCCTCTGCTGGCATTCTATTCTTGTGCAAATTTGCCTAACAAAACGGTCATCTGGTAGCTCCGGGGCTGGTTATGAGGGAGCATCATGCTCTCCTTCCAGTCACCAGTGTGCCAAAGTGTTCTCATGTGGGAAACTTCTCATGGGGTGCTCTTCTCCCCTTCCCCAAATAAGCTTAGTGCAGGTAGCAGCATTTCCAGTCTGGTAACATGGGGCTTTCCAGACTAAAGCTTTTTTGTTTATTTGATTTTTTAATCTTCTGGCTCTCTGTAGCTTTCCTCTTTTCTCAGAAGGATCATGTGTGTGGTGTTTTTTGGCTGGTTGTGCTGGTGCACTTCCAGCTCTAGTGTCCACCTCCCCCAAATTCTGAGAAGTTCTGTCTTAATTTGAAACCACTGAACAATAACTTTCTTTTAAAATAAAGGAGAATCTTATTGAAGGAAGAATAATTTTTCCTTTTTGTAAATATAAGCACATAATGAAAGCAATATCTTCTACTTGTTTCTTTTCTAAATGTATTAGGAGTCTTAATAATGAAGTTTGTTTCCTGTTGGTTAAGAAGTGTGTATGTGAAGGGATTTGGATTATTTCCATGAATATATATATTTTTATTCTTTCAGTATGAGCAGTACCAGTTCAGAGAATAACTGCAAAACCAGGGGGATGGTGACTTATTTTAGGAGCACTTAGCCAATAATTGGTAACAAATTCTATGACACATGTTGTTCAAATGGGCTCTTCTATATTTCAGTATGGAATACTGAAGGTATCTAGCAATAGAATCAATACCTTCAAACAATGCTCTAGTTACACAACTGATAAATCTTCAGTTGCAGTGTTTTCAAGTGTTTTTGTAAAAAATAAAAAATAAAATAAAATTTTAATTTTCTTACAAATGTACTGGTATTACTTTCATGAAAGTAAGCATCAAGAATAACAGGATTTTTTTTTTTTTTTAAGCTTTACTAATATTTGGTCTTCAGAGCTTGTTGTATCTTTTGTAATATGGCCTCGTTTCTGGTAATTGGGTTTTGTGTGCATGTTTCTTAGATGAACCCATAGCTTTGCAGTTGTTTGTTGTTGTTTTTGTTGGTTGGTTGGTTTGTTTGGTTTTGCTACAGTGGCAATATTGAAGAGTTTAAAAATCTGTTTCTTTTATATTCAGCATTTAGCAGACTGGGTTAAGATTTATAATAAGCTTAAGAGATGTTCATTTAATTTTTCAAATGGAAACCTACCAGAAGTGGCTTTTTTTTTTCTCTCTCTCCCTTAAGCATGGAGTATCATATCTAAAATTATGGAGAGTATAAATGTGGAAATGTTAAATCTTTTGTTAATGGCTTCGAATTAAGCACACATTGTTGCAGATGATTTGGAGGACTTATTTAAAGTAAATATACAATTTCAAGCTCAATTATCATTCATAGTTTAACTACGCATAGTGAGGTATTAGGTCTGTGAATTTGATACAGTGTTACTTCATAATTATGATGCTTTTTTTACAGTAAATTTGATATAGAACAGTTGCTAAAGGAAAGCTGCTGAATAGTGTGACCAACCATTTTATGGAACACATCTGGTGAATTAGTTCAGGATGTGCCCTGCATAAGAACAGAGCCTTTTGCACAAAACGAGAAGGAAGCTAACTCCACATGTATATGTTTTGCGGACATGAGAAGAGTTTAAACAATTACTAGTTAATTGTGTAAGCTAATAGGAGGGGTGCTCGTAATGTCATTTCAAAATAGCTAAAGAGGAAATGGATGAGAATTATTGTTTTAAAATCTCAAATGAATGGTTTACACCTGTTAATGTTACATTTAGAACAGCTGTTTCTTTTATTATCAGTAAACAGATGCAGAAAGTAATGGAATGTTTTAAAGCAATATGTTAATCCTGTCCCCCACTACTGAACATTCTCACAATCTCATGATTAAATATTAACTGTAATAGTGCTGTCATCTGCAGCTATGGAATTCTTAGGGGTTTTTTTAATTATCTATGTATCTGACATTGTAAATGTTTATCCAGTGGTACTGTAGTTTTTATCAATTGATGGTATGTCCTTTTGCACATCAGTAATTTTACCATTGATTCTGTTGCAATTACTCAGCCAAAATGACCCTGAATTTTGAATTTTTCAATGGTTATTTCTTTCTTGGTAATTTCACCCTCCATTGTTGGTTGGCACTGTGGGTAAAGCTTTGCCAGAGCAGACTCTTTCAGATCCAGCACTTCACATCACTGCATATTGGAGCGGCACTCATAAGGTGGTACAGATGAGGCTCTTAGGTGGCTCATGGAAATTTTTGTGTTGTGTGAAAATAGCTTCAACCCTAGTTTGTTTATTTTCTGTATGCCTTGAGACAGATGTGTCATGTTACTGAGGTTTTGAAGTACAGAACAACTATGATTCTGACGGCTTACTGGAAAAAATAAAAGCTCACAAATGCAGATACCACGTGTAGCTAAAAAAAGTATTTAAAAGTCAGTGCCTAAATTGGCCTGAGATTGTGCAGAAACGAGTACTTGCCACTCACCTCCTCAGAGCTGATAGTAATAGTTCCTCAAATGAAAATGTGTTAATGTTGAAGTTATGGTATCTGTGAATGTCATATATATATATATTAATAAATAAATAAATAAATTTCAGTGAAATAACATGAAATTGTGGAGCATTACAAACTCAGCACTCCAAGAACGGAAGCACAGAAGATTAATACTCTCTAACTTGTTTGGCAGATTAGCTTTCAGGAAACGTAGAGACCAATGAATATGGCAGCTGCATTATTAAAATACTGTATTCAAACTCAGGTCAATTTGTTCATTCATGCATGGAGTAACTCGGCAGTAATTGGATCATAACGTTTTCAGTTGTTTTAAATCACCAATATTTCATGTCTCTACACTTAAAATGCCTGTTCAAATTAGAATATTCGCACAAGGAGCAACCATTTTGCTAGAGGTGATTTTATAGGAGTGTTCACTTCTCAGGTCATCACAGTGAGAAAATGATGTTGGTAGAAGTGCAGTTTGAACTCATTTTTGAAGGATTTTAAAGATGCTGAGTCATAAAATGATTTAAGTGGATATAAAATAATAAAGAAGTTATGTCTTTCCCTGCTCTTATTAGCCCGGAACTGTTTCTACTAGGTGAATGAGTGGTCTTCTCAAGAGATGAGAGAATTTATCTTGATTAAATAATAAGAGGAACCCTCTTGTATTCATTCAGTAGGTTTAGAAAAAGTCTCGTCATTTAACTTCTGGAGAAAGTGAAGGAAAATCCTTCTGGAAACAATTTGAGTTTATTTCATATAAAGTAGTTGTTGAAAGGCAAATGGTTTCAGCTGTGAGGAGGGATTCTTGTCAAACTTTGGGCCAGAATTGACTAGTAATAAATAGATTCTTTCAAAGCAATGTGCTATGGGATTTCTGTTCTTCTTCACTTAAAACAAACAGAGTTTGACTCTTACTTAGTCAGTTAAAATTTCTATTGTTCCCTGGCAGTGTAGGTATGTATAAATTAGTATAAGAATCTGTTTGTAGTTACTCAGATGTGTGAAACTAGTTATAGAAAAAGTTTCCTCTTTAGAGGGATTCATTTACCTCTCCCAGAAGATAGCATCCTCCTTTACACAGCATTGCTGCCATTATTGCTCTTAAAGCTTTGCATTTGAAAACTGTTTATGCTTGTGACTTGTTGCCACTTAAAAGAGCTGTAACTCTGCTGTGTTTGCTGCAACCTCTGAGCATGTGAAAACACTGCCAGCTCCTTCAGAGAGCATGGATTTGAGCTGACTGTTTCAATCTACATCTGCAAATAAGTAAATGTGATTTTTGCATCGAGTATGAGAGAGCAATAAGGTGGACTCCATCCTTTCAGAATTGCAACCTTTTATACTATTAGCAAGCTCTACTGTAGGTGTAAATGTGTAGATGTGATATTAAGGACCACGGTTTAGAGGGCAATATTGGTGGTAGGTGGACACTTGAGTGAGATGATCTTACAGATCTTTTCCAACCTTAATGATTCTATAAGCTGAAAAGTGCACCGACTGCTATTAGGTTATGGAAGTTCCTACACAACTCCATCAGCAGCTTGAGCTGGATGCAGAGTTGTGGTGGGGGAACAGAAAACCCAATTCTTGCAGCTAAGCTTCTGTTTTTAGGTTTTTGGTTTAATTAGCATGAACCTAATGGCTAATGGTTGGCTGTGCTTAACTCTCACCTAATTAGGAACTCTTTGTAGTCCTTTGGACTGAAGTTTTAGATCAAATAGTACTAAGAGTCACCAAAAACTGTGCAGTCTTTTGTTACTAGTGTACCCTGTTCCTTCTGCACTTACCTGGATGCTGTATAGCAAGAAAGTGTTGTGCTGATTCCTTAAATCATGCTAAGCAGTGATGGTCTCAAGCACTGGCAGGTTTTTTCTTTATTGGCAAACCTGTGTGGATACAGAATTAAAACTAAAATTCTTAACAAAGACCTGTAAGGTGCAGTATATTGCAATAATAACTGTCTTAGTAGTTTTCTTAACAATGTCAGCCTAAGTATCTAACTTAAAAATTTGCAACAAGTATTTTGGCACAGGGCAGTTTGTTGTAAGGAGTGTTTAATGGCTTGTTATGTCCTATTTCTATAAACAGAAGTCATTTAGAGTTCAGCAGATATATTTAGAATCAGCATTTGTGCTGGTAGTTACAAGCTGAATAAAATTATCTCTGAAAATCTCAATATGCAGAAGGGAATAGACCCGTTCAAATTCATCTCACAGCAAACTCTTTTAGGAGGTTTTGATGCTCACTGTTATTAACCTTCAAATTTAGAAAATAGATTTTAAACTAATTATTAAAAAGATTTAGTAAGTAAGTGAAATGATAACAAGTGTTGTGTGCAGGCACTGCTAGTTTAGGAGAACATTATGATTATGGCCATCTAATAGTCTGGTCTTGCTCACTTGACCCTAGCAAAATACCTTAATCTTCATAGAGGCTGTCTCTGTGAAGGAGTGCAGTGTAGGGCATGGTGAATCCTGGGGAGGTGGGCTTTGGGCTGGTTTGGATAAGAAATTTTTAATAGGACTTTGCACTGAGTGATTTGTAACCTAACTTTGCAGTTTGTTGACTTTTAGATAAGTGCAATATGTGAGAAATATATGCCAAGTCTGCTTGCGATATGAGTTTTATAGCAAATAGTAAATTAAAACCATAGTGACCTTTTGGTCTTGCTGACCATGTGCATAAAGATGTTCATCATAGTAATCTCAGCACGAGGTGCTGGCTCAGAGGACAGCAGGGATGAGCAATGTTCTTGTACATGGGTTCTCCTGTGTTTTTATAGGGAAAATTCTGCAATTAGAATGTTTGTAATTGTACTTAGATGATGGAATTTTGTCATATTTTGTGTTGAAAAAGGTAGTTGTTCCGTTGTCTGGAAAACAAGATTCATTTAGTGGTCCAAATAGGCAGTGGTGTCCCAGTTGACATCTCAATTGATAATTCTTCTGTGGTTACCTGCTCTGGCAAGCCTGGTAATTTGTAGGTAACAAGGTATAACTCTGATATAGATTCTCCTGGACACTCAACTCAGGAGTTTGAAAACATCAAATTCAAGGTATGTGCTGCATTGAAGTACTTCTTCCTTCCTGTATTTTAGTACAGTAAGAGCTGTTATCCTTTCTTAAATACAAAATGTCCAAACATCAGTTTAAAAGCCTGGTTGAGTGGCTCCCAGCTAACCTGACTGAAGGAGCATCTTGCAGGGATGGTTCAGTAAATAGCTAGAAATAAAGCTCTGTGTAATTGTGCCTCAGCAGGGCATGTTTCTGATTTTTACCTT